ACACTCCTTAAAAAGTTTGCATTCACCGTTTTCCATACAATAGTATTATTTTTAAAGATAGTCTGATAAGGTATTGCAACACCGAGAAGAGTGGGGAAATTAATATTATGAAATTATGATTAAGTAAAAATTCCAGTTGGTATCCTTGTTTCATATCGTGTCTTTATCGAAAGTTAGTGGAAAATGCTGTATTCAGCGGTGACGCCAGAAATTTGCTGACAGGGGTCTGGCATGTCCAATGGAAGGTCTGAGCCAAGGGGCCAATGAAGCCTTGGTCGACAGCCCAGAATAAAAACTCCCTTGGGGTTCACGGGAGAGTTTTTACGACTTTTTTTGACGACGGGGGAAATTCCCCCTGCCCCACTGGCGCCACCTCTGCCTGTACAGTAGTCTGATCAGTTATTTGACAGACTGAAATGTAGAATGGCTGGCCTAAAATATGTTTGTATCTAAAAAAAAAACAAATTCACTGTAATGTTTAATATTGTGTATGTTTGTCTCTCTGGAAAATTCATATTTTTATTAAAATGTTTTTAATAACTTACTTAAAAATACAGATTAAGCAATCCAAATGTGAAATTATAATTTTTTGTCATTTTCATTTTTTTTACATAATGAATGATAGTATATCTTTGAAGACTAACTTAATTATGTTACTATATTATCTTATCAAAATTATTATAAGAGGGGTATAGTCAAATAAATGTATAACAATAACATTGGTTTAGAAGATAGGGTGGAATATTTATATAAGCAAATAAAATTGTAAATAACAATAGTTTTCAGACAACATGCAACCTTAGCAACAAATTGAGATTTAAAATGTATTAATTTTTCCATTTTTTGAAATTTTACTTATAATATAGTATGCACAAAATTGAACTTAAGATTCAAAATTATAGTTTCAGGGATCTTGCTTCTTGAGAACAAAATATCTATATACCATTAAAGATCTGTTATAGAATCTGAAAACCTAGAAAAATGTTAATAAAAATATTTAATAGATAATAAATAAGGTACCAGTTCCTCTGGTGTAAGCCCACCTCAAATATAGTCCCACCTCCTATTTTAGTACTGTGCCAGCCTTTCCTCAGGCAAAAGCCAAGTGTATAATTTGGATGAGGACTCTTTATAATACTCTAAAAAATATGAATTAGCTTTGAATCAGGCATGTAGTGCTCATGAAAATTGCCTTTTGATTAAAAGGGGAAGCCCACCCTTCAATTCAAAATCTGACCATTGTTTTTTTTTTTTTCGGTGGTGGGGGGCGGGGGGTGTTATACTAGAGAGTATTAAGTTCTTCTAATGAAACACAGATCAGGCCAAATATGTTTTCATAGCTTTGCACACAGTCAAGAGTTGCGTTATTTACTTGTTTTTAAAGTTATCGATTCTATTGAATAAAAAACAATGAATAAAGCCTAAGATTTTTTAGAGAAAAAAAACATCACTATTTTTTTGTTTATCATGCAATATCACAATAATGATATAAAATTGTATGTTTGTATACTTATGACATAATTATTTAATTTTGTCAGTAAATATTGTGTTAAGTAATATTTCTTTTTACTGTATTATATTAATTTGTTGAGTAAATTAATCATTTTGATTACAAATTTCCGAAGGAACAAAATAAATGATATCATTTTAAAATATATTATAAAATTATTATATTTATTACATATCAGTATAAAACTGGAAATAAATACAGTACTATTATGTGAAACATTTGTTAAAAGTTTTTATTTTTTCTTTAAATTTATTATATTATTACAATAAGGCCTGTTATGTATTAATATTATTATTGTTTGTAGCATTGTCTGCTTTGCGGTCAGCATTTGATCGTGAATTAATTCATCTGCAAAGGAATAATAAATCTAAATATTGAAATATAAATTACTGACGTTCTACAATCATAGACGTCGCTGAAAAAGTTAGAAGTTTAACAGTAATGTTATTTCAATAATAGCTACACAAGACCCGCCACATTTTTTCTTTATAATATCTTAAGTGTGATTGGTCGATATAATGCAACGTCACTAGCCAACGCTAGCAGAATTCGTTTTAGGGGTTTCAGCAATTGATAAATTCACTGACCCCCTATAGGCATAATTCCTTGGCGCGTTCAATTGGTAACTTTTGTGCGTTTATCAAGTACGCTACAGCTTGCTGCATTGAGGGAAGTTTATGCCTTGCTGTTGAAGAATTTCGTGAGCTAGCCAGAACATTATCGAAGATGGAAAACAGGATCAAGTTAGAGTGTCGTGGTTCGCTGCCTGAGAAGGTATGGCATACGAAGCTAGGATAGTTAATGTGGTGCCTATTTACCACGGCTTATATGTTTTTTAGTGGCCGATTTTACCCACACAACACAAGTGAGAGAAGGTCGTACCGTATCTTTCCTTGTGAAAATGCCATGTGCCTTGCTATTTATTTGTATCCACTTCCCCTCGTTAGTACCACCACCAAATTGTCAATTTTTTACTGAAAATTGGGGTTTGTTGTCTTGTTGAACCTATGTAATCTTAAGTTTCTCATTCTATCATCGTAAAATAGTTATTTACGTATTCCCTAGGCCTGGCTATCTGATTGTTGTAGATGGATGGGCAATCATCGAAATCAATTTTGTTAGGCTTACGACTCACGAGATGGTTGTTCTCCGGTTGTGTGCTTAGATTGTTTGAAGAATATGTAGATTTTAGAAAAATAAGATTTTATGTACACTGTGCATATAATAATTGACTGGTATCTAAAGAGAAAATTAGCAATTTCGACACCAAAGCCATTTGTTTTTGTTGAATTGGCTCGTTTTTTAGTTACTCGGCTACCCTGGCCTATTTTCCTGGCTGTTGTCAAAATGGCCAAAGCGGAAAGGTACGATTATACAATTTTAATTCTTTTACATAAATATTCATTTACACAAATTTAATATTATATGGCCTAGGGTTAATTTCAGTGAAGACAATTTCGTTAAAAATGTTCAGAATATAATGCAGGTCAACACGAACGTAGCAGTATTTCAAACGAAAGGATTAAACATCGCTAGGTTGACCAGAAAAACAGATCAGGCGGTTGATCACCTTTCTCCCGAGCGTGACTGCCGTCAGCATTTATTTGCGAAATTACTCATTATTCTCTAGATTTGGTTTAATTTAAGTATTTAGTTGGGTAAAAGTGACCTTTCTTAAGTAACTGTGGTGGTTAAATTGGTTTCAAAGCTGCTAGGTTGTAAGCAGGGAAACGATAGTACTGTTCGCCCAGCTGAAACCAGCTCTCTCCGCCATTGCACGTTGCCTGGTTTATTGTGGAACTCGGTGCAGTGAACGGTTAGTTTTATTGACTTGCAAGTTTGAATAGGAAGTCAGTCGGCCGTGCGCGCCGAGCGGAACTGTTAATGCTATCAAAACGTAGGCCTAGCTGATGCCAAATTGAAATTAATCAATGCGTGCCTCCGATAATTGAAATTTTATAATTATTTGAATTACACTTGGTATTGGAAAGTCTGTGTTATCATTAAAATAATTATCGGTAAACATATTTCTAGTCATAGCGTTTGCTTATTTGCATGCTGCTCAACAGGAATAAAATTAGGGATCAACTTAAGGAATTAATGTATGGTTATTATTATAACATGGATAGTGTGTAAAAAGAGTACTGGAAATTCCTACTGTACTTTATTATGGCTGTGCATATTCTAGCATTGCAATCCCCATACCAGAGTTTTACCAATAATTAATATCGGTCATATTCTAAGCCCAATCCAATAGAATTATTTTTTATGTTGGCTATCAACCCTGTCTCTTTGAAGGGCAGGCTGACTATTTGAAAATAAATTTATTTCCTCCTGAAGCACCATTCAGAAAAATGCTGCTTTTAATATTTTATATATTGATGATTTAATTATTTAAAACATATGATCATGGATCTACTTTTAACAAAATACCTACATAGGAATGAAAACCTGATACAGTAATTTATTAGGGCCATTAATAACCATACTATGGTTTTCAGTATACGGTATACTTTTATAATTTGATTATGATAAAAATGTAATAAAATATTCTGATTTATTTGTTTCATTTATTTTTATTTATTCAGGTTTAAAGTACATAATAAAAGACAGAGCAAGTCTGAAATCAATAAACGCCTACAGAAAACAATGTTTAAATATACATACCAGAAAAATATATACTAATTACTATGGAAGTTTTTTATGAACAATATTTTGCAATTGATTTTCAGTGGAATATTATTATTAAAATGAACACATCTGTGTCTGTATAATTACAAATGAAAATGTTATGTAACTGGTATATAGTTTCTTCATTCTGTTGTTGAATGTTTGCAAAAATGACTACAGTATTGTTAAATTCAAATTGTCAAGGCAGTTCTATTTTGCTATTTTCATATATGGCAAGGCAGGTTGTTAAGCTATTTTCATATATAGCAAGGTAATTCTGTTGAGCTCAAAACACAACAGGCTGAATTTTATATCCCCTTTATTTTTTTGAATTTTTCAAGAAAGAACACATTTTTTTTAAATTTCCATTTTTCACAACATTGGGTGCACTAAACAGGCCAAAAATATATAATTTTTTTTTTAAATAAAAAAAACAATCATCGTCGAGAAACAGCAAGTTTGGAAAAGGTGTATACCATTTCAAAAAGGGCTTGTTTTAATAATAGGCAAAAAATTGCCTAATTGGTTGTTAGTTTACTTTATTTTTATTTTGCAGGTTCATGAGTTGAATTTGGACAACTGCAGGAGTACAGGGGTATTAGAAGGGCTGACAGATGAGTTTCTGAATTTGGAATTGCTGAGTATGATCAATGTTGGCCTCACAACATTAAAGAACTTTCCTAATTTACCTAACCTTAAAAAAGTGAGTTTCTGTACTGTATTCTATTTAAAGTATTTATTTCAGGGATGTAGTTGTGGCGTGTGGGGCCCAGCCTTCAAAAACTTTCCACCCAGCATAAAGCTAATTTCATGGCCCTCTAACCCACCTTTATTAACCCCTGCCCATTATTAAAATCCACTCTTAATTATCTACAATCTATCAATGCTATCACCCACCCACCCTTAAAATGTCTACCACCAACCCTTAAGCTCTATCCACACTATCAAATTTACTTTGACAAAAAAATGTGACAAGCCCATATATAATAATGCTATGCCTATATATGGTCATGGTGTGATGTCATCATGCCCATATATGGGCATATCACACTTTTTTGTCACACAAAACAGTAGTTTACCACACCTACAACCCTGTTTTCTACAGCTAGAGTACAACCTTGTTATTTGTAATTAAAAATATGTTTATTAAGTATTATTCATATGAAAATATTTTAATCTGTTGTGCTGAAATGTATCACCCTGACACATTCATTGACTGTTAATTAGATACAGTAACTCAAAATATATCAAATATCTTCTGGTTGTCAATCAAATATACCATGTCGTCGCCAGTTTTCTTTTGCAGGTGGTACAGTGATTCTGAATATAAATAACACATGTAATTCAGCCATTGGCTGGCTGCCTGCCTGCCCGCCCGCCATGTACAATTTCATTTGATGTATAATCCTTGAAAAAAGTAATACAGTGTTGTTATTCAGTAAATATTCAAGTAGTTTCATCTGATTTACATCCATTATTCTTGGTTTATAATTGATTAAAACAGTTCTGTAGATTTGTTGTTATTGTTATTTTGATCAGTTATCTATTGTTTTATTTTATTATGTATTCTAAAATTTAATTCTTGTTTTCAGCTCGAATTGAGTGACAACAGAATATCGTCAGGCTTGAACCACCTCGCTGCAGGGTCACCAAGTCTCACACATCTGAATCTAAGTGGAAACAAAATTAAAGATTTTGCGTCGTTAGAAGCACTGGTAAGAATGTATTTAGTGGTAACTTGGATGCCAAAGAACACAACAAACAAACATTATTTTTTTTCACTTACTGTTGGATGAAAATTATTTCTTTTTTGAGTTTTTAATTATATAGGCCTATTCTAGGTTTCATTACCAACTATAACTCATCCCATTTATTTTTCAGTACAATGGCAAATGAAGGGCTGGAATTTAGGAAAGGAGTATTTAGTATTTCTGTTTAAAATATATTTTCTCCCGAAATAGCAAACCCCAGCTTTGGGTTGGTCAGCCTCAGAGTTTTCTTTTTTGGGAGGGTTTCTAATGAAGCCTTGACAAACAGTTGTTCTCTCCTTGTTACATAATTTTGTTTTGTTGGTATGTTACAAATAAAAATATTGAATTAATAAGTAGTTATTATCATCTTTTGATTTTCCTTTGTAGCAAGACTTGGCACATCTTAAGGCACTTGATTTATTTAACTGTGAGGTAACGCAAGTTGAAAATTACAGAACTAAAGTGTTCCAATTACTACCAAACCTAAAATACCTGGATGGCTTTGATATCAAAGATGAAGAGTCTATTGATTCTGAGGATGAAGGTTAGTGGCTCAGTTTAAAATGTTGTAAATCTGGAACTTGCTTTGTTGAATGGCCGTTAGCCAACTCCCTTTGATTGCTATGCGATGCGATGCCCTCTTCTCATTATCAGTGGCAGTCTGAATTGATCATTTACAAAGATCTGTTGCGTGCAGGTCGTGGCGATGTTTGCTTTAGGTACAACATTTTATATCTAGCACCTCTAGGTGGCTGGAAATTGTGCTCTCAGAACTTTAATTTTCTTTTCCCCCATTTTCCCCCATTTTTTTTTTTTATTTCAAAAAATTTAGGGTTGTGGAGGTGGCTGGGTACTAGCCACTATAGAATATATACAGCATCTTATTAGATTGTAAAAGTTTGATTGGTTTGTTATAGAAATATTGTTCGTAAATTTTAGTCCCAATATTATCGCTATGCAATTTTAGTACCATCGAGAAGACACCGCCACATATGAAAAGTATGTAAGCCACATTGACATTTTGACCCAGCATGTGCAGGCAATCTGAGAAATATAAATAAACCTAACTGATGTCTTTGTATACAGTAGGTGTGTACACATCATTGAATAAAATACTCCATCTTTCTATACCGACACCCCCTACATCCTTCCTCCAATTCCATATAAATCCAAGTCAAACCATATCATCCTACATAATCGTTGTAATGCTTACTCAAAATTTTTTTTGATGCAGTTGCATCAGGGGACGATGATGAAGAAGAAGACGATGAGGAAGATGATGTAGCAGTTGATGAAGACTCTGGTAATATTTTGCTCTTTAATATTCAATTAAATTTAACAAATATTTGATGCATATTGATTTAAAAAATAAATAATGTAATTTTATTATGTGACATATTTCTCTTCAGTTAAATTTAATTCAATTGTTTATATTGTCCAAAAAGAAAATACTGATGTCGAAGCGAAAAACAATTTTGGAATTTGGGAGGGGTTTGTCATGGTAAGGATGTTAATAATTAACAATCGTCTGTTATGGTTGTGCCATGGTCTCGTTCTTTGTACAAATTGCGAGGTTAAACCACAAATAAATAATACAACCCTGGAAAAATGTCAGTGGAATAATGGTTAGATAACTATCTGTCCAAATTGTAAACAAAAAGTCTATAAAGCAAGATTGATGATAGCACTGGGCTATGACTAGTCTGATTCCTATTGTGCATGCCACTTATGGTGGCCTGACTTGCTGTATATCAACTTTCAAATTATGTTAAAATTGCAATTTTACTAGAAACAATATATTTTTACGTTTTGTATTCAATTCTTGAAATTTCTAAACTACTGTTTTGCAATAACCTTATTGAAAATATTGTTTTGCAGATGACGATGTAAATGCCGTAGACGATGATGAGGACGACGACGATGATGATGACGATGACGACGACGATGATGACGACGATGAGGATGATGATGATGACGACGATGATGACGACGATGAGGAGGATGGTGTGGATGGAGAAATCTCAGATGAAGTTGGTTTAGAGTACTTGTCAAAAGCAGAATTACCCGTAAGTTGCTGAAGTTGTTAGTGTTCACACATTTTGGGAAACACATTTAAATTGATATTAATTAAGTTTTTTAACACATTGATCCTATACTTAAATCAGCTCAGTCATAAGAGGCAAGAGTGATGATAGCACTGGGCTATGAATTTAATCTGATTCCAAATGTGCACTCCACAAATATTGTGGACTGACTTGCTTTGATTTCAAGTTGATCAGTCTAGTTCTACAAATTAGGCTAGACTGTAATACTGTTTGGATAAACCCATTTCTGTCTTGGTAAACACATTGAGTCTGGTTTGATGGTGAGCTTGTACAGTTGAACTTGCCTAGGTCAAATCCAAAATGGCTTTGAAAAATTGTTTAACTAATGGAAAACAACAATTTAGCACATAAAATAAGATCGACTTAGATATTAATCGAGTTAGGCAGTTAGGCAAAGAACTGTACTAGAAAGCAGTAGTGTTTAAAACTGTGCTTGCTATTTGGTAGAAACAAGAAATCTGAAAAAATGTTTAATACAAGCCAACAATATTTGAATAACATTTCAATAGAACATTCAGAAGACTCATTGTAATTATACTTACAGAAATGACACATAGTGTACACTTCCTGTTAGTTCAAAACATGAAGGGAGGATTTTTACATAAACATGGTTTTGGTGTTGGCTTATACACTTGCATCAGTACAGCACTGTGTTGTTAAATATTCTGTTTAAAATTTGCCTTTTTTGTTCACATTTTATTCAGGATGATGACGACGAGGAAGATGATTTCAATCCAGATTTAGCAGAGGATGATGATGATGAAGAGGAAGATGATGATGAGGAAGAAGCAGTAAAGGTTGATGGACAGTTAGGTATGTTGGTTGTTAGAAAGTAAACTCTAGAAGCAAGAATGATGAAAGCACTGGGCTATGAGTTAAAAACTTGATTCCAATTGTGCATGCCACAGACAATGTGGACTGACTTGCTCGACTGAATATTTTCGAATGACGTCTTGTCTCGACGTGCATGCATTTACTGACATTTACTGTCTAATAATGTAACGGCCTACATTGCTATATTTTAAACTCACTTTAGAGACATAACTATGTGATCGGCCTCCTACCAACAACCCACATTGTCGGGAACAGAAAAAAGTCATCCTAAGGGGTGTTCTTTTGTTTTGTTTTTTAATTAATTTTTTTGACCTCAATAATAATAAATACAAAAAAAGTGGTTGGGGGAAACTGAAGCAAAAAGAAGCTCTCAAACTCTTAGTAACTAATTGTAAAATTGTAGTGAACTGTGATACATATCCAATGTGATTTTGTTTTAAATTGATGGTGTATTGTTTCATTTGCATATATATCATATAGGACTTGCAATGCCATAACAAGCATCAGCAACCAAAACCAGAAAATTGACTTTTAATATACTCATGTTCTCCACATTATAAGCTTTAAAAATGATGGTCGTTTAAAGAAGTCGACTTACTATTGTTAAAGTTACAGCTTCTCTGGAACTAAATATACATTCTTACGCTAAGTATGCAATACTGCCACGTTCTTATGCTAATTACACAGTTTAAACATTTAGCAACAGTATGTTGGTTTTTGGCATGTCAAGCCTCATGTTATTTGTAATTAATCCTTGGTGCTTTAATAATATGCTTCCGGGCCACAAATGCACTGGAAGAATTGCAGATCAGATTATAATATTTTTGATAATTGACTTTCTAAATATTTTTTTTCTAGATGATTCAAGGGGGCAGAAGAGGAAACGAGACGTGGACGACGTGGGAGGAGAAGACGGTGATGAGGATTGAGGCATTCAGAGACAAATTCCCTAATGTTTCCAAAGACTATTGAAGTGTATATACGTGGTACAGATCGCGGCTCCTTTGGCATCCCACCTGTACAGAGCTCCGCAACAACGCCAATGCCACTGATCACCCACTCACGGGACAGTATTTTCTGTTATACAATTCCCATCTTATGCTAGCTTCACTTCCTGAGACGTACCCCTCCCTTACACATCGATGAATGCCAGAATGTATAGACACTTGAGGTGAAAAGCACCTTTACTTTATACCACCTGTAGGGTGCCTTGTTAATTAACGAAGCCATGACTGCTTCTAAATCTAATATAAAAAGCATTTAAGTCTTCAGAACTCCAGCCAAGTAGCCTTTGCAGTCACTCTTAACATGGTTGCCTTTAAACAAAACATGTTGCTTTCTGCGTCTGTATTAATCTGTCGTCCTTGTTCCTGCGTTCTATTATACAACCGTACAATTACTAAACTGCTCACAATCATCAGTTTAAGAATTTGATTTGGCAGTATACAATCATATTTTTTAAGAAATACCTTGAGGTATAAATATAGCACAAATTTGTACCTATAAAATGACTTGTTGCCAAGAAGGAATAACTTGATTAGTAATTTTGAGAGCGAGTTTGTACTGTATATTTATTATGATGAATGAGAACAACATAAAGTTATAAAAATTTAGTTACACCTCTTTAACTACGTACATGAATTAATTATACAAGAAATTATCGTATTGCAGTTCAGATATAATTACTGTCCTCAAATCTGCCCGTAAAGTAAGAGATGATTTTGTTGTTCATCTAAAACTATGTTGTATTTACAATATTGAAGTTTAAAACCATGGTTCTTGTTCCAGTTTGTGGATCTGGATATATAAGGCTGACAAAAATTACATGTAATTCTTTTAAAAAAATGTTCATTGATGCTTTGCCCTGAATTCTTGTGGGACGGATAAGTCTATAATTCGAGCAAATGGTATATGATCTCAATTCAACAGATTTCTTGGAATTCTGTTGCAATAAATTTTTGTACAAAAGGAAATTATTGTAATTTAAGTGTGGTCTGGATTTCTTATTTTCTCCTGTCTTTCGTTTCTGTTAAAATAATATTACAACATCATAACAAATTAATACCACAACATCATAGCAAAGTAATTCTTCTGTGCCTTGGAATTGGATCAATAGACTTTTTTGGAGTGGCAATCAAATTTGACAACTGACCAATCAATCAACGTGTTCTATAAACACGTGTGCATTTTTACTTTGCTGTTCTTTGGGACCTTTGTCAACATCCAAGGGGATGGGGCTTAGCAGAGTTGCTAATGGCTATGTTCTCACACGGCTGCTAACGGATAGCAGGATCCGGATCCTGCTAACCGTTAGCTGCCATGCATCCATACAAGAAAATTCCGATCTGGATACCAAAAGTATGATGATAAATCACTGGCCAATAAGAAACGGGAAATTGTAAATGCGTACGTGTGATTGGTTGATAAAAATGCGCTCAATTTGCTAACCGATTGGGCGTCCTCGCGCATGTGTTAACGGTTAGCTCCCGATCCGGATACTAGGGCGCTCGTGAGAACCAGGCTAAAGATGTCGTACAAAGAATTTTCTTGCTACAAATGGCTCAATTTAGCTTGGATATGCAGTATCATTGGGCCGGGCCTCTAAGAACAGCAATCTTAATGAACGCAGTTTATGTTAAGAGGAGGTTTTAGTCATTTTAATCTAAATGATTTATTTATTTATAAACATATTTTACATGGATAACATTTTCATATAAAAAAATATGTTCTAACAAATGGTCCATGAATGATATTCTTGGTTATGGACTTTCGCTGCTGTGAAGTGACCTTAGCGTCATCATAAAACTCAATGCAGTGTCGGCCGGCCATAGAACGTAGTGGGACTGAGGTGGTATGGACCCTTGATCTGTGAAATTCTCTCCTACCCAGGCCCCTCTTCCCCCTTCCATTTTGAAATCCTGGATCTGCCACTCCTTAATCACTACCTTATCGTTATGATGCAGTTGCCCTTTCTTTTGACTTGTGGAGCCGAATTCTGGAATTTGTAATCAGAAGGGCCCCCAAAACCAAGTGGAAAATATTTTATGATTTAAAATGTGGTGAAAATTAGACCAAAATACTGTAATATGCAATCACAATAACTATGGCTGGATTCGCAACAATCAATGTTTTTAGTCCAACAACCATAAGAGGTTCCAAAAGACAGGAGTACTGTCAAAAGGGGAAATTTTCCCTCCCCCACCATCACCACCACTGATCATATAGTAACCCCAGCATTTGCAGACTAACCAAGGCAGCACAACATTTTACTGCATGGGACAACTTCAGTTTCAAATCATTCAAAAATATTTTTAATTCATTTTTTCCATGTACAGTACATTCACTTATCATTTTAACAATGTTTAATCTTTGCTGTTGAATTATTCAAAGCTTTACTGCTGTAGCCTGAATTGCATACTTCCACATAAATATATTAATTCAAATTATTGAACAACCATCCATCCATGACAAACCTGACATTACGACACACTGAGGAGAACGCCAATGACTGATGAAGGCAATTATATTGTTGCTGTTTAGCACTGCTTCTGCCATCATGTGGTTGATACAAGTGCCTTTACACCTAAGCCACAGTTTCAATAGCAAGTAATAAATTTTGAATTGGCGCTATATAAATATTATTTATTATTATCAAATACGAAATAAAAACATAAAAGGCTTGCCAAAATATTAGTAAATCTAATGTATGGTAATCGTTTACAAATAGATACGATGTTGTAAAATATAACATGTAATTTCCCCTGAAAATGACAAAAAAAAATCATTGATAATTTGAAATTAACTTGCTTATTTTGCAGTAACATACACATTATTAACTAGACCATAGAAATTATTAAATTAAAAAAATGTGTACCCTGATTTTTATACTGGATGATAAAAATAAAAAAAACTTCCAGTGACTGAGTGTTTTTATGATTTTTTTAAAATCCCTTTTTTTTGAATACTGAAAAGTAATTTCTATGTTCAAGTTGATAATTTTTATGTTACTTAAAAATGAGCTAGTTAATTTCAATAATGATTTTTATGATATTTTTTGGTATTTTTTATGGGACAAATAAATAAATAAATAGATTCATCAGGTTGAAGAGCTATGGGTACTGTGGCTTAGCTGTTGAAGCACTCAACCCTATCGGCCATTTGGGTAGCGTTACACAGTATTGAGACATCAACAACTTAGTAGATTATACCGCCTACGCTATATAGCATCTGTGTCTATAGGAAACTTTGTATTGACCAAAATACTGCAAAAACTTGAATAGAAGCCCCATGGGCTTAATATCGAGAATAAGCCCATCTCGAAAAGAACCCCCCCCCCCACCTCTTCAGTTTGCAAAAGTAATCTCTGAAAAGAAGCCCCTGGGCTTCTAATAAGATAATATTGGCTTCTTTCGAGATAATACTTACATTTAGACTGATGTTATCTTTGATTATTATGATAGTGTGTCAGTATCAATATAATTTTATTGTGCTTTCGTGGTTAAAATTTAAAAGAATATTAAACAGAATTTCAAATTCCATGGTTGAAAAATGTCCTATAGTAGCAATTATAAAAAAATTACAGCATTCATTTTGGAAAAGAAGCCCCCTTCTTTAGTTTGCAAAAGTAATCTTGAAGAGAAGTTCACCTCGAAAACAGGCCATCTCAAAAACAAACCCATCCAAGGGTCCGTAAAAAAACGGAAGAAGCCCATGACTTCTATTCAAGGTTTTACGGTATCTTTCCATCTTTAATCATTTTCCATGTGATACTAGGCAAAATGAAACTGAACGTTTGATTCTTTGGGATTATTTTTTATACATAAACCTTTAGGTATTGTAAATATACAAATTGCTAGACATAACAAAGCAATATAAATTCATATCTATATTTATCTCATTAATGAATATATATAATATACTGGTTCATATACATGCTAAGATATATATCCTGATAGATTCATACACTGACAGTTTCTATAAATAAATTTATTAGAATATAAATATAATGTATTTATAGCAAGTGAAATAAATTAAGAGTAAAGCTAGTGTTTATTATTACAAATATTTTACATATAAATATAATATGTATTACATCAAGGAACAACTACACATACAATACCACACCTGGTAGAAAATCACCTTGAAAAAAAAAAAACATACTTAATTAAGGAATTATTACAATTTTATCAAATGACATGAATAAATTGTTCATTCTTAAAATATTTGCAAAAGTAATCTTGAAGAAGTTCACGTCGAAAACAGGCCATCTCAAAAACAAACCCATCCAAGGTTTTACGGTATCTTTCCATCTTTAATCATTTTCCATGTGATACTAGGCAAAATGAAACTGAACGTTCGATTCTTTGGGATTATTTTTATACATAAATCTTTAGGTATTGTAAATATACAAATTGCTAGACATAACAAAGCAATATAAATTCATATCTATATTTATCTCATTAATGAATATATATAATATACTGGTTCATATACATGCTAAGATATATATCCTGATAGATTCATACACTGACAGTTTCTATAAATAAATTTATTAGAATATAAATATAATGTATTTATAGCAAGTGAAATAAATTAAGAGTAAAGCTAGTGTTTATTATTACAAATATTTTACATATAAATATAATATGTATTACATCAAGGAACAACTACACATACAATACCACACCTGGTAGAAAATCACCTTGAAAAAAAAAAAACATACTTAATTAAGGAATTATTACAATTTTATCAAATGACATGAATAAATTGTTCATTCTTAAAATATATAATTCATACTTTGTGCAAAGAAAATAATAAAAACCAAAGGTAACATTACACTCTATATTCTGTGATATAAGTAAATTATACATGAAAGACCAGTAAAATTATAGGTCCATATTTTTGAAAGTGGACTAACTTTAGACCTGGACAAAATCTGGATTTACACCAGGACTATCTAAAAACAGTCGAGGACTAAATCAGTTGAATTTTAGTCTGCCGAGACCCCTGGTTTAACAGTGGACTAACAAAGACGGTTACTGCAAGTGCGATGAATTTTGTACTGTGCAAAAAAATAAAAACAACTAAGTATATAATATTCTTAATCATATGTATCACTTTATTTATATTTTAAACTAAATAGATAATTTTATGATTTATTTCAGGCCTAAACAAAAGGCCCATCAAAAAGATTTAAACCAGGAATAACTTAGTTCACTTTCAAGAATATGGTCCATAATTATAGGTTTTATAGTTTAAATAAATTAGAATGTAGAGGGCAGCAAATATTATCAAAATACCAGTTGAACAAAAATTATATATAAAAAAAAATGACTGATAAAAATAATCAATAGTTAGAATTAAAAATAGTTTTACTGCATTTTAGTATCAAAATATAGACAAGAAAACTGTATCAAATACATGATATAATTAAAAAATATAACAATGACATAAAAAAGTAGTACACTGTAGATAAACAATTATAGCTAAAGAATATGAACAGTTAATGTTCAGTGACCACACCTCTCTCCTGAGATTCAACATATCATATTATTGTATTATGATCTACTTGACCAATAACAACATTTTGAGACTAACATATAATCTATTATTAACAATATAAATGTAAATTATTCTACAATTTGATATGAATTTCAGTGAACGCTTAAATTCGATGCAAATTTCAGCAGAGGACATAGATGTCTGGACCAAGTTATATAAACAACCTGCAGTAGTAGACAGAGGCCCAATTGTTAGATTGCCTCAAGTGTTCAATTTTTTTTAATTTCCCATTTTTGGGCAGCACTACCAACAAGTGAGTTAATTCAGAATTTGGAGACACCAAATCCATTAACCAGAAATAAAGTTTGGGACACCACTTAAATTTGGCATGGTGCACAATAAGTGAAATTCACATGACATGCCAACCATACATCAATATGCATTCACAATTTCTTTTCAAAGGATTGATGCATTTTCTTGTTGCTTAGAAAGAAGGTATGAGTAAAATCATGCCAACCTAGTGAATACTGCATTTTAAGAAATTAAACCATTAATGTACTTTTATGAGCTTCTTGGCTAAACTAGTGGTAGCCATTGTGTGTGTATGCTGAACTGTGTAGATCGTTTATCTCGAGGGCTGAATTACAAGTTTTGAATAGCACATAATTTTCTGGAATAAGACGTTTATGATGCTGGTCCCATGTGCAATGTGGCCCATGTGAAGGATAAATTATGCAGTAAACGTTGCAGAAAAGAAGTAGGGGATTGACTCCCAGTGTACTTGCCAATTCAGGTGCAGATCCAGTGGGAGGGGAAGGGGGGGGGGGAAGCTAGTCTTGCCATTCAATTTTAAATTTCAATGCATATCAATATTATGTACACAATGAAATAAGCGCCACTAACTTATCCTGAAAATTTTGTGCCTCGTTTGAAAAATTCTGGATCCGTCCCTCCAAATCACTACTCCAGAATGAATGATCTACCGAAAATAAGTCTTCAGACTTTTGCAGATTATCCTTTGGTGTGTTTAACACCAAAAAGTTAATTAGTGTGTTTCTGACAGCTAGAAAAAATCTGTTCTACATGCTTTTGTATGAATTTGTTGGATCAAAATGAAATATTTGTATTGTGATCATTTTATAAAATTGAATTACACCAAATTTTTATTTCAACATTTGGCTTAATCACCTAGTAGTGTGACAACAAATTTGTTGTTAGCACCTATACCATCTCATTCCATTGTAACACCATAAAACCTTGAACAAAATCAATGATGTTGGTAACTTGTGTTCATGTGTTTTGTTTGTTTGTTTTTTTGCGGTACTAGTTGCTGGAATTGTCAAGCTCTTTTTCAAGTTGTTTGATCCTCTGGTCTTTCAGTAAGATCTGTGTCTTTAGTTGCTTGATTTCATCCATCTGCCTTAGGTAGGCCTTCCGAAGCTACAGAAGAGAGAAATAAACCAGTGTAGTTAGCATGATTACTCAACATCATTATCAACAGCATTTATGATATTTTCCTGCAGTAACCGCTGCTACTTGGGAATTGGATTCAATGCTAGACACTAGGCGCAAGCTCAGTGGTCTAGTGGTTATGACACCCGGCTGTTTATCTGGAGGTCATGGGTTCGATTCCCGCTCAAATGTTCTGAGTATTCAATACGATAATACGTTAGGTAGAGCAAAACATCACTCCTACGAAAGCGTCATTATTATCACCATCCTACACATTATCATCATTAAATAATCACATTTCATTTATTTTGTCTTGAACGGTTGCAAACATTTTTTTTTCGTAAGTCGGCCAGACAGGATTACCAAAATTATACCAAAATACTGTCCAGTGGCATTCAAATCATCATCTTTATTATCCTCCATCATAGTCACATCATCATCACCATCGCAGCCCCCTGGCCCCCAGCGTCTGTTTGTTCACTCTGCTTGCAAACCTAACACTCGCTTTACTTGCTTATTAGGGCCCACAAGGGCCCCACAAATTCTGTACGCCACTGATCACAATCACCGCCAAATCACCAATATGATCATCATTATTAACATTACCACATCACCATTATCACTATCATCGCAGTTAGCACCACCACATCACCATCATTACCACCACCATCATGTTCCAAACATGTTTTGAGTAGATGTGAAAATATTGATTGTGATTAAATTCAGGGTTTTCCCAATTGAAAACTTTTTACTGTTAAATTTGTCCATATAAAGCCAGCCTAAAGGCAGTGCAAGGCATTCAATGACTTGAATAAACAGCAGCACGTACAGCTGTAGCCCAGGCCAGTCCCAAATATGTTTGTTTACCGAAGGAGGCTCGCCTACAGTCCCTAAGCATAATCAGTGGTCTATTTTTTTTTTTACCAACACACTATTTTTACAAGTCGGCTGTTCATTTTTACTGGTTAAAGTGACAGCTAAACAGGCATCGAGAGAACACTGAAGTTAATACTTTTTCCATGATACCTAACTTGATGTCCTCTTACCTGTTCGACTCCAAATTCTGATGAGGTCTTGAGCTCGGATTCCTCCCTAAGGCTTTGGGATCTAGAAATGGATTGCTTTTCACTTGGCTTCTGAGTGGCTTTCTCCCATTCTTTACCCTCTACATCCTGGGAATGAGATCGTTGCTTGCGTATCCTATTAAAATCTTGCTGTTGCTTGTTCCTCTTGTCAACTTCCTCAGCATAACGCGCCCTGGCCGTTCCAACTCTACCGAGAAGCCTCTCGCCTTTTGGTGAGCCTGCGCTTTCTTGTTTTGGTATCGCTTTTTCTTGACTAGTTATGCGTGGACGGATCTCTGCCGTGGGGATTTCGTTCATGGACAGGGCTGAATTGAATGATGCTGAAGTTTGCCGCTGAACTCTACCATTAAGTTTAGGTGAGGTTTGCGGAGAGCTTGGATCAACAATTTTGTTTCTCCATGCATCAATTCTACTCTGGGTTGATTCTCCATTGTTAGAAGTCTCTCCAGCTCCTGCTGGTGTCACATTGCCATCAGCCTCTGTATCGCTGGTTTCTTTTTTTCTATGTTGTGGCGATTCCTGGGGTCTGCCGTCAACACTGGTTGTTCTCTTCAGTTTATCTTCTGAATCAGGTTCAACTGGAGATTTTAGTCTCTGAAGCTCAAATTTATCACCCTCTGAGCTGGGACTCCTTGGAAGACTCTCTTCACTTCTCCATTCATGTTTTTTTGGTATTCCTGCCAAGTCAGACATTACTTCAGTTTTTGATGAAACTTTCCTCTCTTCTACAGATGCCAAAAACCTGTCTGTCAACATTTTCTTCTTGACTTCTCTGGGTGACAATAAAACATCCTCCTTACTTACATTACCATTAGATTCCTTTCCGTTGGAATCCTTTCCATTGGCCTCTGGCAGTGAAATCGGTGATCCTGCTCTTGGACTTTGTCTTGGAGAAGCTCTAAAAGTTCTTTCACTGGTTGGTTTTGATTGTTCCGCTGGTTTTGTAACATCCCCTCCACTGTAAGGCATTTTCTTTGGTACCTGAGCAAGTTTCTGTGTTGGTGCTGCTTCCTTTGAAGTTTTAACCTCTCCATCTTCGATAATAAGCATGTTGGGCCTACTGCAGCCACCAAAAGACATTAAAATAGGATCTCTGTCTATCCCGCTGACCCACTCATCAGATGTCAAAGCTGGATCTTTACCAGGTGTGTCAGGGTATATGTCAGGCTGGAAATAATCAGACTGAAACAAAAACAATTAAAATTAAACAGTAATATAAAAATAAATTCTTTCAAATCTAAGCTATAGGAGGAAATCATGAGATGATTTATAAAGCTTGTCACGGAGCTTAGAAAGTGGAGATGTTTTAGTCTAAAGCTAGGCACACACTCCGTTGTGCGACCCGCCTGTCAGGCAACGAATCACACTCTGCTCTCTGTGAGCCCTGAACACAAAGTTGTCTGCAGACTGTTGGTGGCAGTCTGAATGGATCGTCATTAAAAATGATCCTTGTGCATGCATCATGCACTTTTTTCTATGTTATTTAATCTTATAAATAATAATTAATTTATAATGTATTTTATATTTATATTTTTCTATGTCATTTAATTTTAAATTATTAAATACAGTAATTATCTTATTTTGTAATTCAAAATATATATATATTTCCCTGTTTTCTTGTATTTTTGATAGTGAAGTTCAAGGGGGGATGTAGACAGGTACTTTTTACCTGTTCATCCCTTCCTTTTCGCTGCTGTCCATTGATTTTTTTATATTGTATACATTTTCTTTGTGCAGTGATGAAGCGTAATAAATAAAGAAATAATAAATAAATAAATGGTGTTGCGCTCTGTATTAGGATCGCATGTTTTACTGTGTGTGGCTTTAGAGAATTTCAGTCATCAATTATTATCGACAAATGCTTACCCGACGTGGTACAATCATCGAAACCGGTTCTATCATGTTCTTTATAGTGCAGACTCTGTAAAAACGCATGATCTCATTACGAGAAGTGTCAAGGCCACGTTTTGGCATCATGCCAATACCACGCTGAGGAACGTGTGCCATGTGTTGCGATAGGTAATGCAAATAAGGCTTTTCATCAGTTACCTCGTAGTAACGTATATTGCCATCACCCTAATGAAAATTAATAATAAAATCACATGTAATAACATTAAAATGATGCAGTATATATACTCATGAGCCAAATAATTGGGAAAAAAAAAAAATTTTAATTTAAAATTTGAATGAGAAAAAAATTGAATTGACATCTAAAATACAATATATGCACAAAGTACATCTATAATCAATGTCAGAGTCTGTAATAATTACATGATTTTTCTCTCCACAATGAATTGTGTTGAGCTCCCAGACAAGGGGTCAGCTCTTCTTAAGTACAGGTCCTGGCCTGCATGCCCCTCTACCATGCACTGCCCTGACCAATAAGTGAAAAAATTACAATCTCAAAATTACAATCATCTATATTCTACTTATGTACTCTGTATGTAGAGAGGTGGGGGTGGTTGGTAGGAACACAGAGTATTTTTTGTATTCTCTTGAAAATGATGAAGGAATGGACAAACTCTTAGGGAATGGAGTTTGTATATTTTTTAAGGAACAGTCCAACAAAAACTTTTAGTGAGTGATGGCAACCATTTTTATAGGGTAGATAGATTTGCTAATCAAATTTTCTCTATATACATCAGTCTATTGTGTTTAATAACTAATTTATTTTTTATGAACAGTTTCTCTATTTTAATTAATTTTCCAAAATTGTGTATTTTGCATGTTTTTTATATGTAGTTTAACTCATAAGCCAGAATTGGCTGGTCTCTGTTTTATGCGAGTGTGAATAAAGAACTACTACTCTACAATCTTGATTATTTATTGATGGTGCCGCTTATATTTTAACTTACCTTTCCAGCTAAGAACAGAATATTGCTGTCATAATCAAAGAATGGAAAGATGCTACTGCTACCTGAATCCACTTCTATTGACATCAGCGGAGAATCTAGGTTTTCCTTAGTAAAATACAATGAGTAACAAGTCAAACTTTAGAGTACCATGGAAAGTTAGCACCTTCCTGTTACAAGCATTGTACTATATATTACACAGGTGCCCACATGCGGCCTGACAGCAATTTTGATGCGGTCTGTGACAATCCTATATATGTGGCCCGCTTACCACCTGTTTCTACAAAACCTGTTGTTTTAATGACCAGACACCGGCCATCTGTTAAAATCAAATCTTAAAACCTGAGCATAAAAAGTATAAAGCAGTCCAGTGCAGTGTTATCGTTATTTGTAGGAAATAGGTTAGTTTATGCTGTAACTTTTTGGCTTTTTGCTTGCTCGCGAGAATGCACGAGGCCACTCTGATTCCGACAGAATGCTTAGAATCCCTACTGACTATACAAGGTATGAACACTATGTAATACTAACTTTACTCCATAAATTAATGCGTCGGTTTCCATGTGCGATAAATCCTGCAGTCAATATGAGATCTGATTGGCCAGCAAATATAGCTTTGAAAGGTTTTACTCCATAATGTCCTTTATTTTCCTGAATAAAAAAAGAAAAAAAAAATCATTATATACAATCCAAGCAGATTGCAACCATCTGGTATTATGTTAGTACCCATGGCTACTAAAAAGGTTCTCACTATTATAGTCCAATAGCAAGAACCTTCACTTAAAAGTAAACGTAAAACATATGGTAAATGTTCCTTGTCTGTACAGCCCCCTCCCCTTCTATGGAATTAGTTACCCATTAATCTCTTTCTGATTTTCTAAAGCTTTTTAGTCTCGTTTATTTTACACTTGGCGCTTTTGATAATTTTTGAATTGGCACGGTAAAAACATCTGATTTATTATTAAAGAATTATTGAAGGAAAAAACTAAAACTAGTATAGTACTTGTTATTTTCATACATTACTGCTTATATAAGAGAAACATAAAATATGCAGTAAATACAATGTATTTACTATAATGAATATAACTTTGAATGTCAACATATTAAGTAATAAAATAATGTTATATTAATAATAAATAAACAGATATACATGCATTAAATGATATTTGCTAAAATGCCTACTTCAATATGTTTTGTTACTACAGTATTAATATTAATGTTTTAACAATTATTTTACTATTAGGAATAAAATAATATAATATGCTGGTAATAAAAATAATACTAATAATACAATATCAATATTAAAACAACAGCAGTAGCAGCGACAGCAGCTACAACAACAACAGCATCGGCATCAGTAGCTACAACAATAACAACAGTAACAACAGCAGCTCAAAATATACTGTACAGCAACAGCAACAGCCACAACAATAACAGCTACAACAGCAACAACAGAAACAAAAACAGCAACAACAACAGCTAGAATAACAACGGGAACAACAGCAGTTCAGAAACAGCAATAACAACAGCAGCAGCAGCAGCAGTAGTAACACACAGCAGCAATAGCCGCTGCTGCAACATACAACAGCAATATCTAACAGCAGCAGCAACAACAGCAACAAAAACAACAGCAGAATCAATAAACAGCTAACAACAGCAGCCACCAAAAAAAAACAGCAGCAACAATAGTAATAACAAAATAAGCAATAACAAAATACAATTACTAATAACAAATCTGCAACAATAAATTATAATTCAATAAATAATGTAACAAAAATACTAAGAATATATCACTGCTTACAATACAATCTCACGGTATACATTATTTAATTTAATTTCTTTATATATATTATATGGTAATGGTTGAGAACTTTTATCCCCTTACTGTTACCAAGCATTAACATTATTTTAAAAACATTCATTATTTTTTCGGATTTAAACTTTGTAATGTATTTTGAAACTAGAAAAGTGTGAAGCTTAGAAAAGGGGTTAGTTTTTCCAGAGATGGTTTATATAGTGACTTTTCTCAAAAAAACAATATAATAAAAAAAAGTATGTAAATTTATATAATTAAGAATTATAAGAGATTGCTTATGCTCACATGCATACAAATATACTGAGCATACAGTACATGGAAAATATGTAGATATATATGACCAAGGCAGAAATTAATAGTATTATGGTAGTTATAGTAGCATATATTTATATACTGTATAAATTATGGATTGATAAAGATATACAACATATAAAGTGAGTTAATATAGACTGTCCAAGTATCTCGTCGTTCTTGGTCGGATTTCCCTCTCATATTTTGTTCCTAGTTGGTAAGTTTTGAAATTGCAGAAAAAAAAAACAACCCATTTTTAAAATATCAATCAAATTTTTTTTTGTAATGTATACTTCAAATGGAATGTACAAATTGGGGAACCACAAACACAGAGGTGGCGATAGTGGGGGGCCCAGTCGGTGATATCTGGCAAACTCGTCGAGGGGAAAACCACAATTCGTCTGGGAGTGAAGAAAATTATGTATTTTGTACATATTAGTAGACTCTAAAATCGGATTAAATAAGCCCTTAAAAACACCTAAATTGCCAAAATTTTTGAAATATTTTGAGCTACGGCCAACCACGCCCACTTAGCTCTTGTCGGGGACACCTACATCTCATCGGGTACATCGGCTTCCTTGTTGACCAATTCCTGGCCCACCCCTGCACAGACATCCCTTAAGCCCTGTCTCGACTATCAAATTTTGTTTGACAAACATTCCTAAATATGCTAATGCTGACATCAAATCATGACCATAGGTCTAACATCATGACTATATATGGGCATACAAATTTTTTTTTGTCAAAGAAAATTTGATTTTCAGGAGAGAGCTTCAGACAAAACTGCACTAACCCTAGATGATATACATGATCCAGAATTTTAATTTTTTTTTTCTCAACTTGGACAGTCTGTGGTTTGACTATACAGTTTTAGTAATTACATAAATTGGTATTTAAATTTTAAAAAGCCAAGCTAAGTAATTACTGTATCACAATTATTAAAATTTACAGCATCAAATAATGAGTTCATATGAATATACACACCCTCTACAATGTCACAAAAAAGACATGCACAAAAACAAACATCAATAATAAATTAGAAAAATGAAGGAGTACGTAGATACACATGCCATATAATTTAGATATTTTAGTGTACTTTAGGTAACTGTAAACAACATGCAAAAAGTTTACTGTGAAATATTAGGTGCTTGCATATTTCATAAATGAAAGAAATACAAAAGAAAAAAAAAATCAACCTTGTAAGTACTCACACAAGGGAGAAGTCGTGAAGAAAGAACTAAAGTGATGAAGATAAAAGAGAATTGAAGAGGACAAAAATGATTGGTAATGCATAAATTATGCAAATGAGTGAAGACGTGGGAAAAAACATTGACGGAATAAACAACTGTTTTGCAATAGAACAACATAAACTTCCACCAATTACATCCGACATAAAGTGACTGACACGTCCACATTAAGTACAAAAATAATACAAATATTTGAAAGATAAAGATATACTCTCCAGTGCTAAGGTAAACCTTAAGATATAGATTAAGTTTTAAATTGCTCGATTATATTTTAGGAGGTTACTTTTAATTGAAAATGTTTTCCCTCGCCAATAAATTTAACAAATGCACAAATGATAGAGTGTGTATTAAATGGACATTTAAATTGGCTGCTAATGAATTTAGTTAACAAAATCATATTTTTTTCTTTTTGTATGTAATTTTCTGGTGACTTTGAATATTCTTTTGAATAAATTAAATATTAAATAGTGTTGGACAGAGCATAACTCAGTAATTTAATTCATATTTTTAAGATTCTACCTCCTCACAGCAGTATATCTTTAAGTCTGTTTTACATCTGACCAATCACACAACTTAATAAAAATGTTTGTAAATATTTTAATTTTTTAATAAAAATTTATTTCTTTCAAACCCAATAGTCTAAATATGAGGCATAGGAGTTGAGTCTTACAGGGTTTGAACCCAGGACTCTTGGACACCTGAATACATCTTATCAAATAGTTACAGTAACTATATTAAAAAGTGTATAATGATCATAATAGGAAAGCAATTGTTTAACACATATAAATTATTTGTCCAACACCAAGGTTGTTGTAACCAGTATTATCTTTTTGAAGCTGTATAATTGGTCTAGCCATGAGCAGAGACTAAGCGCAGACAAGTGAGAACATTTATGGCGCAATGACAGAAAACCTACCTGAGAGGACTGGAACAAGGCAAGTCATGCAATTGAAAGGAAATCAAGAATATAATGTATATGAACAAAAGAATTATGTTATAAAATAACAGAAAGAGAAGAATCTTTGGTATAAATCATTATTCAAATCAAAATCAATTTGTATAGCGCCACCACACAAGAATCTACGATTATGGATGCCTTGAGCGGATGTACAATAATGTCACTGATGATGAAAATTTAATTCTCAAAATCTGTTTGCAATAAAGTACAATGTTGAATTACTTAAATTCCTGTTTTTGTTATTCAGAGAAGGTTTGGTAGCATTATTCACAATTATGAAATTATGTTCTAGAAAGCACTTGGCAAAATCCCTTATAATAGTGCAACTAAATTCTTAATTTTTTTGATGAAAATGAACACAATTTTGAAGCTTTAGTGTTCATACAGGGGACATGTCTGATGTGCTATGCTGAAGAATGCATCATTTGAAGATCACAATTTAAATACGAGAAGATGAAGATGAATGGTGTGTAACAAGATCACCCGGCAATATACTCAAGTTGATGAATTTATCAGTTACAAGCGTGATATCAACTTTTATAGCATGTAATTTTAGGTCTACAACATTCCTACCAAGAAAAATGTTTATACGACCTTAGCACAGTACACTCATGACCTCTCACCTTTAACACTGTACCCGTTCTTGGTTCAACGATTCGTAATTTTTTGTCTTTGCATGTGGTTACCATGGTGCTGCCATTCCACGACCAACCCAAGGAGTAGATGATGTTGCTATGACAACCAATAACAGAGACCTGCTCAGCGTTGTCAACATTCCAAACGATAATCTAAGAAGACAATTTTAAAGATTTGGGTAAAACTAAATTAAATAAAACGCTTTCTTTAATAATACCATAAAAAAAACAACTCAAATAAATAGGAACTGCAAATGGACGTCTATTTTCGTTAAAAAGATAAAAAACAAAGATAAAACAATTATTAATAACATTTTTTTTATTAGTTTGTCAGAATTAAAGATAATATACTCTTGCTAAGACAATGGAATTTACATCAGAGAAGAGTGCACAACCCTACCACCAACCACAAACAAATTTGCTGTAATGCAAAAGTTCTGAACTTAACAAAAATGTGTGTGCTGCCATCTACAGTTCATATTGCATAATTTCCTCAATACATTATCAAGCACAATGATTGTTAGAGCTTGAGCGATCATGTTTAAATTTTAAAAACAAGCATATTTTTTGTTTTGTTAAAAACATCCTCTAAACAATAGTTAATATCAATAATTTTTGAATAAATTTATTTAAGTATAAATAAAAAATAAGAAAAAAATCAATTCATCTGATGTTTCCACCTTGCATGCATTTATGCAAACCAACAAAACAGTATCCTTTCTGAACATGTTTTCTNNNTATAATTTTTATATAATTTTATTCACATCCAACAGCAAGTAACTTTCCAATTATAAACCATGTCTCCTTAAGAGACTTTAATTAGTTGTTATTAGTCACAAGAAAGTCCTGCTGTCACAGGAACTGAAACCAGGACCCTGGGATTAGTAGGTAAGAATCTTAGCCACCAAGCTATTCAACTCCATGTATATTCATTTAATAGTAGTTACTTAGCTATGCTAAATAACAACAGATTTATTTTTCTCGACAAAGGCCAATTAATATTGTGATGTACAAATACAAGTATAAAATAATATTTTAAAAAGTATAAATATTTTAAAAAGAGAAAAAAAAATTGATTACTACATCATCCTTGAGGGACAAAGAGAAACAAAATGCAACAATATCCATTCTGAACAATTTTCCTGAAATTTACATAAACCATTATGAATAAAGTAACAATTATAATAGTACTCAATATGTTATAAAGAGTACCATACCATATGTTTTGTGATAAAGATTAATTATGATATGGTAATCAAATGAAGTACCTTTAGATAGGCAATTTAAAAATCATTTGACTTTATAAATAAAGCACAACTAATACTAATTCGTAAATTTGTAGTACTGTACTTAAAAATAACCTCTGTGTACATCTTAAGTAATTGAGATTTATCTTTAAGGGCAAGAACAGATGCTAGGTCTAAGGAGATATCTCTGATTTTTTTTTATAGTAACAGCAACAAATACTATTTCATATGCAGTCAACAAGTACTTAAAAAGAACCTCTGGTTAGAGGTCTTTAAGTAATGGGGATTATCTTTTAAGGACAAGAACAGTTGTTAGCTCTAATGCTGAACATAGCAACTAAAGGAAAATAACGGTATGGAATTAAACATTACGGCCGTTCCAAGGCAAAACAACATAACTTAACAAAAATATAATAGCAGTTGCATTGTTTCCATGGGACGGCCGCGATAACCTGGGTTGCCTGATGAAATACAAATTACTTGACTGGCATGAAAGTAAAACTTCCCTCGATGAAACAGTTGCTTCCCACACACAAAAACACATGACATGTTTGTTCGAGGACTAGTATTGTAAACATCAATCTAAAATTTCAAGTAGAAAGTTAGAGTGGAATTTCTTGTGTTATTAATGGCCCATATTCATCCTTATGAAATGTAAACAACCTCAGCTTTCTATACTGTTGTCAAGACATTACTTTTATCTAGACATTCCATTTAAAGTCTAGTTAATACAGTACTTTCATAGAACATATTACTTGTACCTTAATTTCATTCACAGTATTTCGTTGCAAACATGGAGTTCACTAATAAGGTTGACATAAGGATAGTATGAAACAAACTCCGAAAAAGTGATATAAGCCATTGAGATTCAATATTTAAAACTTTACAGTAATTCACATTCAGGAATCTGTATTTGATTGCTGTATGTTTGAATACTTTAAATCAATTTCAATTGTATATTTTATCACCTATTTCGAATGTTTTATTAAAGTATGACTGATATGAAAATATAATTGAAATATAAACATAGTATTATACACGAGTGAATATCGTTTGAATAGTGGAGTCTGCTATTGAGGCATGTTGGGGGGGGGGCAGAATGGTGCTCACAAGGGTGCTCACTTACAATACCTACATCATACAATTGATTTGTTTTCTCACAACTCTCCTCATAAACATTGAATTGTTGTCTATCAAAATTGTGAAATATCTGTTGTCAAACCCTCTACAGTATATGCTACAGATAACTACCAATGTGTTTACACTTAGCTTAAAGCCATATTCAGACTTCATTTGACAAAAACATGTGACATGCCTATATATGGTCATGATGACATCACATTATTACCATATATAGGCACATCATGACTATATTTGGGCATACAACAGTTGTTTGTCAAATAAAATTTGATAGCATGAACAGGCTTTGGACAACTGGCATATTGATACCAAAGTAAACATGAAATGAAAGGTGTTGAATGAAACGACCTCGTTATAACAAGAATTAATGTTCCAATCCGTAACATAATAACTTTGAATTTAAATTGTTTATTACTGTGCACTTACTACAATCAATTCATTTATAAAAGAATTCCCATTACACACTTCACAAAGTGACAAAATCATCTACTTTCTACATAAACTTGGTTTAGGCTATAGAACAATTAATTGTTTTTTATTGTCTATTATGGTACAGTTACAGCAGTTTGACGACAGAATGCAATAAAAAACAAAACTGCGCATTTAAACTAGATTATGTTTAATGATAATCTATGTATTTGTTGTTATCATAATGATTAAAATAAAATAAAAAAATTTAAGACCCTGTTTATTTATGTCAACAAAACCATCCTACTGAATACTCAAATTACAAACTTAAATTGTTCTAAAAGGATCAAAACATACTCATTTACACCCTTAAATTACCAGCCAAAAACGAGGTACTATAAGTGTGAAAATAAGCGCTGCAGTGCTTAATATTATATTGACATGAAGGGGGAAGGTGGAAGAGATTCAAATGTACAGGGGAAAACTGAAGAGTAACTAAAAGGGAGCTGGCTAGGAAAATAATATGTTTTTTTAACATCTACTTGGGTATTGGGAAATATTTGCCTCACCCCTTGCCTCTGTCAATTACAATAAACATACTACACTTTAACAAGAACTCGGCATAAATACTGTACTTCAAAACAGCAATGATCAACAAAGCCATACACCATCCATTTAATGTACCACCGGAAATCAACGGAAATAAAAGCAATGCAAAACTGGAGATATTCACATCAATTTGCAAACACATTAAAGTAGGCCTGGTCGTAAGCGCAAGTTTTTGAACTTTAAATCCAGCTGAGAGGAAGGGCAACAACCTTTGCCATCATAACCATCAGATATTAGATACAAAACAAGGCTAGCAATTATGATTTTTCTCATCCTGGTAAAATGCAAGACATAAACAACTAGGATTTGCTACTGAACCTTTTAATTTATTTGATTAAAATTTATATCGTGCATTTCTTTTCACAGTAATTTTTTTCAGGTTATAGTGTTCAGATGTGTTAAAGACAATGTAGTCAGCACAGGAGCTGGCAATACCACCAGTTTCCCATTTAAAATTCTGGGTGGAGAGAAACAATGTCGGGAAAGACACTGCCCTGCTTAATGAAACAAGCGAAATGACTGCAGGGAATTGAACCCCTGACATCATTGGGAAAGGAAATCATTGCTGCACCAATTCACTGATTTAGTACACATATTTATGTATTGTAAGTGAGAGAGTTGCAGTACAATAGTTTCTTTAAAAACTAGTTTCTTTAAAAAACTAGTTTAGGCACATCATAACCCAGGGACTCCAAATAGCTGTATTAATCACTGGCTCACAAGATTCAAAATTCAAACATTCAAGCACTTGCATGTGGGCAAAAGAATAATATTATATTTATTTATATAGCACATTTTTTCGAATAAATGCAATGCTTTAAATAAACGCTCCCCCCTCCCCGAGCCTCATTTGGAATAAATGCCTCACTTGCGTAAATGCCCCAAGGCATATAATTTTATCGTTGAATACATGCCCCCTTAAATGACTAACATAAAAAAATCTAATGGAAGCAACATCACATTCTATTAATGTTCTACTCTAGTAGAATTACATTTTTTTAACCTGGTTGAAGTCTATGATTACACAATAACACATTGTGACGGTAATAATGTGTTGTAGTTCCAAATTTACAGTGAAATTATGGGGTGTTTATTTGAGTATATTATTACATATCCATTTTACACAAAAAAATATATACATTAACGCTTACGGTAATAAACACCCCCACAAAAACCCTCTCAATAATAAACACCTGGGGGCGTTTATTCAAATAAATACGGTATTACTTTACAATATATTTTAATATACCGTATTTCCTCATAACCGTATATTTATGGCGGTCACTGTTACCGTATACAGTATGTTTGACTTCTTGAGGCAGGATTACAAATGGGTACCTGGTCGGGAATGAATGATTTAGCATATTGGTCTGCTAAAATGATGTTGCAGCATTAGCTATATTCCTCAAGGAATGTTAGGCCTACTGGACATGCCTCTAATCACATAGACTCAAAGTGCCATTAGCGCCTTACCTGATACTCTAGCACTTTATTAACAAGTAACAAGTTTCCATTCTTGGGCAAAAAAAAAAACAAAAAAAACAAAACTGTGTGTCAATCCTGACCAACCTAAATATTTAAAATCCAGGGTCCTTTGATGTTTACCTTTTGGCAAAAAGCTTTTCTGAGGAACCTAACATGCTTGTGCTTGAAAATGGCAAATTTAAAGCCAAATAAAAAAAAAAAGTTTCGTCCCCTCTCGCATCCATTTTCTCTGCCTCACCAACTTTTTAATCTTTTTTTTTAAAA